TTAATACAATTTTTATTTTTATTATAAAATTTCAACTCTGCATACTCACTTGTTTCAAATATTAAATAATTAAAATTATTAATTAATATATTATTACAATTTTTAGTCTACCAAAAAAAATAGTTCTCAAACAAAACTAATTATGTTTCCTTTGTGTTGTTTGAGTTGTGTAAGTCTATGAATTGATTACAATTAATTTGTAAATCCATTAATTAATTATAATTGATTTATACAAATTTTTCATTAATTGATTGATTATAATTGATAAAATAATATTAAAAAAATTTGTCAAATAATTGATAAATCCATATAATGTTTTTTAAACATATTGCAATAAAACTTTAAAAAGGATTGCCCTCGCTCACACTTGCAAGTTAGATTTAATTGGGGAGTGATTTTATTGTAAGAAAACTTTAATGTATAAACATATATTGAATATATTTAGTGTTTCAACTGACTGAGTACACAAAAGTAAGTATGTCATATTAAAGATAATGAAAATATTTTTTTTTCATTTTTTTTAAAAAAGTTGTACAAATCAATCATGTGACGTTATTTCGTGAGTGTAACCAAAGGGGTCACAGGCTAACGACACTCAGCGTATTGCATCACATGACACAATCTGGTTGGTCAATACTTTTTTTTTAGATTAAACCCAAAAAAGGAAACTTAGAAAAAAAATCTTAAAACATTGACAATCCTTATTATGAATTATATTCCCAACAACAACATATGAGAAAATTTATCCACATTTGACCCATGTAGGTCAAACAACAATGCCTTGGTCAAAAGTTATTACAAATCATTAAATTAGAATTTTAAAATTAAGTAAACCTATTATTGAAATGCAAATGTAAATGACAAGCAAGTAATATAGAAGTGAACAGTAATTTTGAATGTTGGCTATAATGTCAATATAGGCCATGGAGGAATTTCTAAAAGAGCAGGGGTTTGAATTATGGAAATGATTTTTGGGGGTCAAAGTTGGATAATTGTCACACCGTTCGACTTGTAATTAGTCTCATACCTATACAATCTCATTTTCCCACCGGGTCTCAGGATACCGAGGGAACGTAACTCATCCCAAAGGATAATTATAGTCATGAATCCATTATATATATATATATATATATATATATATATATATATATATATATATATATATATATATATAGGAGGAGGGAAATGTTTATTATAAAATATCAATAATATGGATTTGTTTCAAAGGATTGTTACCATTAATTAGGTATGAAGGCAAAGTCCTTTCATTGGTTGTAAAGTAAGGTGGCTTGAGATGGCAGTACTGTTAAGTTGCAAATGTAGTAGGATAGTTTGCAGAAGCAGCCTTTATTAACTGAGTAATGCTCTTGAAGATGCTTTCTTTATAGTCAAGAATATGTTAATAAGCTTATTGGATCTCTTGTGTACAAGGTTTAAACATATTGGTCCGGAATAGTTCCCCTCTCACCCTCGAGTTTGATGCTTTACTTGTTGGGGTGCCGAGATATAAGAAGTATATACCTTAGGGGAATGCGAGAACCCTTGTGGATGATGCTTTTTTGGCATAAAAGTGATTTATCATGAATGCTTAGAATGGTGACTTAGTTTGATGATCCTGACAATTTTGAATCAAGCTGATATTTTTTTGAGTCTCATACTTGATAGAGTTTTGAGGGAGCTTTTGAGTGTGATAATATTGAACTTGGTAATGTTGAAAATCATGAACATGCCTTTTTATCATGTTTCCTTTTAATTATAGTCTTGAAAATCATAAGGATGACTTTTCAGTAGGCTTCCTTTCAATTTTGGAAGATGCTTTTAGGCTTTCTTTCAATTTCAGAGTGATGTCTTTCTACTTAGGCTTGCTTAGTATTGCCTTTTTATTTAGGCAATCTTCATTTTTGCTTTTTTTATTTAGGAAGATTTTTATGTCTTGATTCTTGCAATAAAAGAGCAAGAATAAATTAGAATAGAATAGTCTAAAATGTTATATGAAGAAATTAGAATAGAAGAGTCTAAAATGTTATGCATGCATTGCAGGGTGATAAACTTTTTTTTAGAGGTTTATAGGTATTCTTGCCCGCGTTTCATTATTGATGAATGTGTAGGCGAGATGAATGAAGCGTCTAAGCATATGAAATGGTGCTTTTTCCCCAACCATGAAGTATTACTTTCTTTGTAAAATATCATTTTGTGATTGTTATTTCTTCCATTTATTCTTTATTGAACCTTAGAGAATGTGGTACAGGAGGCCGATTCATTAAAAACATAACAAGCTATAACTAGTATCTCGTGTCTTCTTGAGGCAAGTACGTATAAGCAAACCTTCATGTTCAAGCTTGAACACTACAAACATATATATGTGTAGGCATCAAATGACCTAATCAATTTGCATCAAAATGACATGGGTGAGAGGTCCTTTATAACAACCACCAACATGGCATGATCCAATAAACCAAATCCCCATTTTTATGTTGGTTGCAGTGCCGATTTATATATCTATTTTTTCATCTTGGTTGCTATTAAAAATTCTTTAGCCTTCAAGCATTGCTGACTTATACGTTGGCTCCGCTCGTTAATTTTCACAATATAAAGATCCATACGAAAAGAATCATATTGGCATATTTATGGGCAGATTCATGGTCTTCATGTGACCCAGTCTCATCCATATTTTTTGAAAAAAGAGTTTACGGAATGTATATTCCCATGAAAAAGAGTTTGGGGATGTAAAGTTCACTAATTGTATATCCACACAAAAAGAAATTCAGGGAATGTAGAGTTCGCGGGATTTATTATCATGTCACCTAGAGAAAACAATAAATCGAACTCCCAAACATAAGATCCCACAATAAGCAATGCAAAAATGACAGAAGATAATCTATGTTTGAGGTGAGAATTGAAATTTACTTTATCTCATAGACGATGCCAATGATTAGGCCTAAACATTCCTGGGCTGAAACATAATATTGATGTTGAAGCTCCTTTGGGACGGCCATTAAGCTACTTCTCCATAGATCTACCATGGGACAAGGTGAGGTTATACTTGCAAAACACTCCAATACTGAAATTAGAATTTGTGTAAGCGGGTTTAAGTGAGATGGAGAATATGTCTTACCTTGGGGATTTAAATACCTTCATTTATAATAGGAGGATGACTTGTTTTTAGGATCCTTATGATTATTCTCATCAAGTGGGTATGAAGGCAAAATCCTTTTATTAAAGTGAGGTGGCTTAAGATGATGGTATTATTAAGCTTCAAATGTATTAATTTAAATGTATCACAACATTTTGTAGTGGTGACTTTTGTTAATTGTGTAATGCACTTGAAGATACTTTCTTTATAGTAAATAATATGCAAGTGAGCTTATTGGATCTCTTGTGCACTTAATTTAATTATATTGTTCTAGATCATTATCTAAACTATGGATATTATTATTTGGGGATAAGATCAATTTATAACGGTACAAGAATAATAAATTTTAACTCAATCTTAATAATTGATTTTCATGCATCAAAAGGTTATAATTTGTCGAGTTATACTCATTAATTAATTATTAATTCTTAATAAATTACCATCGTTAGATGTATAAAAATCAATGACTAAAATTTGATGTAAGATTTATTATTCTTGCTCCAATATAAGAAGGATCTACCCTTAATATTCATATTAAATTCTGAATACGAAAGGGTTTATGTTTCATTTCTTTTTTGCAAAAATATTTAAAGAAATATATAATTTTTTTGGTTGGCGCAAATAAAATCTTAAACTAACAAGTTAATAACTTTTTCTCAAGCTTGTTTGCTATGGTTCGGGAGCATGTGCTCCTTTTTTAAATATAGGAGGGAAAAAAGAATGAGAAGGAATTTGAAAAGAAAAAAGAGGTATAAGTGAAATGAAATTTTACTTTTTTTGAAAAAAGACCACAAAATAGTAACATGGTCCTAGAGCACCAAAAAAAAATCCATGTCTTCTCATAATATTTCATTATCTCAAGTTGTTAATTTTTTTTTTAATTTTATGAATATCATATTACCTGACACATTTTGTCATGCTATATATAGAAACAATTGATAATCCATTGGAAAAAAAACAAAGAAAAAAAATGAAATGGACCCTATATCTTTTTGAGTCTATAGTATAAGGTAGTGTTTGGTTTGGGAGAAAATTTTTTTAACTAGGGAAATGTAATTGATAGAGAAATGGTTAGAAAGTGAGTTTAGTAGGAAAATGTAAAAAAAGTTGTTTGGTTGACACAAATATTACTAGGAAAATTTATTTAAATATGCAAAATCTATGTTCGGAAGAAACTTTACACCTGTTTTTTCACTTCCCCAGTTATCTCAGAATACCACATCTCAAGTGGTATTCTGTAACAATGAATTTCATTCAAAAATCAACACAAAAGTCATTTTCTCATCTATCCTATTTGCCTGGTATTTTTTAAAAAACCTGAACCAAACGTGATATTTTCCAATATTCACTTACACTTTTCCATAAATCCCAAAATAAACCTTCAACCAAACACTACCTAATAGATTTTGTGTTATGTGATATGACACACATAAAACTTTTTTTTTATACTAAAAGTCTAAAACTGTCGATTTCTGAAATTCTGAAAATATAATACAACAAAACATGAATGCAGTCAGTATTAAATTATTAATTATTTACGAAACCAATACGATAAATTAATATTGAAATTAATTACATAACTATTAGAGAGAGAAAAAATATCGTCAGTGTCTGTTAAAAATAAATTTAAAAAAACAATATATATATATATTAATTTTTTCTGCTGTCAATATAAATAAATTATATTAAATCAAAAATAATGTCGTTTGTAAAATATTTTATAATTATAATTTATTTTAAGATTATAATAATTTTTTAAAATTATTTTTTAAGTCCAAATAAAATTATTTTAAGAATAAATATAAATTACTTTATCTAAGTTTATATATATACAAGGGAGAAAGAAGGGGAAGAGTGGACAGCAAACACAAACACTCTACACGAAGACAGAGAGAGAGAACCAAACAAAGAAAAGAGAAGGAGCCTTGGTTGGTTCACCCCTTTGCTTCGTTGTTGTTGTTGTTGTTGTTGAGAAGTGAGAAATAGAAGAAGAAGAAGAAGAAGAAGGTGTTGATCGGATGCGATGAGCACACAAGGACAAGGGATAGAGGAGGCGGTGCTGGATGACATAATCCGGCGACTCACGGAGGTCCGAATGGCCCGACCCGGAAAGCAGGTTCAGCTATCAGAGGCTGAGATCAAGCAGCTTTGCCACGCTTCCAGAGACATCTTCATTAGCCAGCCCAATTTGCTCGAACTCGAAGCCCCCATCAAGATTTGCGGTACATACTTCATACCCTATGCTTTCTTTTCATTTTCACCCCCCAATTTGCTCTTTTTATTTTATTTTTATTTTTGTTTTCGGGTTTAAATATACTATTTTTTTTAATGCATGCTGCTGGGGTATCTTTTATTTGTTGCAAGGTAGAACCTTTTAGTTTTAGGGTATACTTGGTTGATTGGTAGGGATGAAAGAAAATGTGGGTAGCCCTTTTAGTTTTTAGGGCATGTAAAATTTGGGGGATTGTCAGAAAAGAAGTTGTTCAACTATAATGCAAGTAATTATTTCAATGTATTTCATGTTTTTGCCTAATCTTTAGAAATCGCATTTTGTGTTGTAGATTGCTGATTGCTGTTAAGTTTATTAGGTGTGTATGAGTGTGTGTGGGTTGCATGTACTCTTCTTTTCTGGTATGGTTGAAAATCTCTCTTTGCTTTTTCAGGTGACATTCATGGCCAGTACAGTGATTTGTTAAGGCTCTTTGAGTATGGTGGTTTGCCTCCTAGTGCTAATTATCTCTTTTTAGGAGATTATGTGGATCGTGGGAAGCAGAGCTTAGAAACTATTTGTCTTTTGCTTGCGTATAAAATCAAATATCCAGAAAACTTTTTCCTTCTGAGGGGCAATCATGAGTGTGCTTCCATTAATAGGATATATGGATTTTATGATGAATGTAAGCGAAGGTTTAATGTGAGGCTTTGGAAAGCCTTTACAGAGTGTTTTAACTTCCTTCCTGTGGCAGCTCTTATAGATGATAAAATATTGTGCATGCATGGTGGTCTTTCCCCTGAACTTACAAACTTGGATCAAATCAGGAATCTACCTCGCCCAACTGCTATTCCAGACTCTGGCTTGCTTTGTGATTTGCTTTGGTCTGATCCTGGTAGAGATGTGAAGGGTTGGGGTATGAATGACAGAGGAGTCTCCTACACCTTTGGCCCTGATAAGGTGGCTGAATTTTTGACAAAGCATGACTTGGACCTCATTTGCCGTGCTCATCAGGTCACTCTATGTTTTTTTACCTCTCCCCCCTCTCCTTCCTTCAGTTCATTTACCTTCTCTAAAGAAAAGGGTAAACTTATGGTGCTTTACTGGAAACTGACATTATAATTTTTCTGTAGGTTGTAGAGGATGGGTATGAATTCTTTGCCGACAGGAAACTTGTTACAATATTTTCAGCTCCAAACTACTGTGGTGAATTCGACAATGCTGGTGCAATGATGAGTGTGGATGATAACCTGATGTGCTCTTTCCAGATTCTTAAGCCTGCGGAGAAAAAAGTAAAGTTCATGATGTCAAACAAGATGTGATCGCCGGCACATCTCTATTCCTTAATTAACTAAGGTCTGATTATTTTTGCTTTTGTTTCTTAGGGTATTATAAGTTCATTGACCACACATACATGATACATCCCAAAGTGCACAATATTGTTTATGTGAGATTTCTGGTTTTTGTATTGGTGTAGTTCAGCTTTTCTTTTCAAAAGAAGGAATTGTTCTTTATGTTATCTAAAAAATTATCTATTATTTTTCAAAAAAGAGAAAGAAAAAGAGAGAGAGATATTAATCATTTTTATAATGGGATTGTGTATCACTTATAATAAATTGTAAAGAACCAATTCAACCCAAAAGCTTAAGCTGTTGGGTGAGGATACATTAATGATTTTATATATCTCAACACGCTCCCTCACACGAGAGCCCATTGGGCTTGAAGGGTAGACAATGCACAAGCCCACCTACCTATGCGAAGAAAGAAATTCTACTAGAAAGAAAGTGGGGGGCGGTGAGGATCGAACCCGGTACACCGAGGCTGTGATACCATGTAAAGAACCAATTCAATCCAAAAGCTTAAGCTGTTGGATAAGGATACATTAATGATTTTATATCAACATCAACATCACCTTTATCCCAAATTAATTGGGGTCGGTGGTAGATGAACCCACATGAAAGATACAAAAATGGTTGTAAAAAAAAAAAAAGTAATAATATATATGTATATATAAATAAATAAAAGTAAAAAAGAAAGGGAAAAGAAGAAGTGGGGGAAATTAAGGGGAAAAGGACTAAAAAGGGACCATCTGGAACATAGGAATAACAACGGGTCTAACCTTCCACCATACTTATAGCTTTTCTCCATTCCGTTCTAAGACATACCGTCCGCCAATCTATATCCCACTCCATTAAATCTTGTTTTACTACCTTCTCCCAAGTAAGTTTCGGTCTACCTCTGCCTCTTTTTGTGTTGAGCTCTTGGTAACAAACTTCTGTTCTTACAGGAGCATCCAGGTGCCTTCTCATCACGTGCCCAAACCACCTCAATCTATGTTCTCTCATCTTCTCGGCTACCGGTATTACTCGTATCTTTCGTCGAATATCTTCATTTCTTATCTTATCCATCCTTGTATAACCACACATCCACCTTAACATCCTTATCTCTGCTACTCCCACCTTATGCTCATGTTGCCTATGTGCTGGCCACCATTCCGCTCCATATAGTATTGCCGGTCTTACTGCTGTTTTATAGAATTTTCCTTTTAACTTAAGGGGGATTTTGCGGTCACACAAAAACCCAGATGCTCTGCGCCATTTCATCCACCCTGCTCTGATTCTATGATTTACATCCTCATCAATCTCTCCACCTTTTTGCAAAATGGAGCCCAGGTATTTAAAAGCATCTTTTTTGGGTACCTCTTGACCACTTAGATGCACGGGATCTTGGTCCCCATCTCGTACCAGAGAAAACTCACACTTCAGATACTCAGTCTTATTCGACTTAATGTGAATCCTTTGGATTCCAATGTGCTTCTCCACAATTCAAGTTTTCTATTAACACCATCCTTGCTTTCATCAATAAGCACAATATCGTCTGCAAAAAGCATACACCATGGCACTTCCTCTTGAATATCTTTTGTTAGTTCATCCATAACTAAGGCAAAGAGATAAGGACATAGAGCCGACCCTTGGTTTACACCTACCGTGATAGGGAAATAACTTGATGTTCTGGTACAAGCTTTTACACATGTAGTAGCCCCATCATACATATCCTTGATTGGCTTTACATACTTTGATGGAACCTTTTTCTTCTCCAGAACCCACCATAAAACTGTCCTTGGAACCCTATCGAACCCGGTACACATTAATAGTTTTATATATCTCAACATAAATATACTTGTTAAATACTGTACCTGTTAAATCCAAGTATTGGATTAGCATCAATCTATAAGAAAGCTCTACTTAACTATACTTTATGGTCTAGGTTTTTTTTTTTTTTTATCAAATAACAAATTTCATTCTTAAAAAGATATCCTGTTACTGTTATTCTTCCATTGTCAAAATCCTAATTTTTTATCTTATGAATTTAGGAGCAAATTTCTATTATGAAAATATAGTTAAATGACTCAATTCTTTGTTTCTAGTCTTATTATGATAAGACACTAGGTATATATTATTTGAGGAGTGTATTTTGAGAGTCCTTAGATTTTGGTAATTGCTGAAAATTGTGTTAAGTTCCATAAAATTTTCTCAAAAGAATTTTTGAAGTGGTTGGGAAGGGGGAGGTAATGGCCAAATATTATTCCTTTCATATGGACAACTACTGAATTTTTAGGTTGCAAGGTTCATAATTAAAATCTGTTTGTACACAGAAGGGCCTTATTTCGAACCTAATAGAGAGACCATTGCAAAATTTGACAGTCAGCCAAAGAAACATAAAATGAGAGAATTTGATTATATATTCTAACCAGCCAAAAACACTCTTAGGCAGATTAATCGTGTTCAGATAGAATATAAAGAGAAGTGCATAAAAGTATCACTATCTTCGTCGAAAAAGATAGTAGTGTGAGAATATTGGCATCAAACAAAGTGAAAGTGAGAATCCATAACTTCATTTGAATCAACTGTGATACATTTAATGTGATCCCTATCCATGGCCCTTGAGATTGTCTGGATTAAAACATCGTCCACTAAGTTTACAAGTGGATAAGGATCCATTTGCCATAATCACTACTGTCCTTTAAACCAAAGTCGAGGTTCACCATTCACAATCACTAAAATAGTAAGTATATTGCATCAAGTTCTAGGCCTAGATTTATTTTAAACTTTAAACGGTGATTTTCCTTTCACTACTTGATGGCTACCAATATGTAGATAAACTTGTAAATGCATTTGCTGGGTTTGGTTTCTCTTGCTATGAGTTATATACATTGGATAGTTTAATACAGAAGTTATTTGGCAGGTAATTTTCCCGTTGCTCCATATATTACTTTTTTGGAAGTGATAATTTTAGGGTGCGTTTGGATCATTTTTTAGAATCGATTTTATGGTAAAACTTTTTTTTGAGCTTTTTTTGGAAGTTACTATATTTAGTGCCTGTTTGGGAGTTTTTTTTTGGTAGGCCAAACAGGTTTTTACAAAAGCTCTTATAATAAAAAGAGTTTTTTTTATAATGAAGAAAAAGCCAAAAGTCAAAAGCTCCTAGGAGGAGGTTCTTTTAAGTTGTATCATTTTTTTTTGAAATGTGTGTTTTTTTTGAAATGAATAGCTTTAAAGTAATTTTTAAGCTAAATTTTTTATATAATCATCAAATAGCTTGTAAATTTATTTTTAAAGTTCGTTTTTTTTTAGCTTAAAAAAAGATGTGCCAAATAAGCGCTTAGCTTATAAGAAAAACATTTAAGCATTCTTTTTTTTTTTTAAAGTTTTTTCTTCTTTTTTTTTTCTGGAAAACTTTTTTAAATATCATAAAAAAATTTAATTAAGAAAGCACTTTTTTCTTGGAAAAAACACTTTTTTATTCATTTTCTTTGTCAGAACTGAAGCAAATTACACAATTTTTTTTTTTTTGTAGCTTATATGCTTTTTAATGTATAGGGTATCCATTTTCTTTCTTTGGTTATTTAGTCTCAGAGCAGCGAATCCCTTCTTTTGGCCCCGATAATTGAATGCTAAAAGAAGCTCCTTTCTTTTCTACTACTTTTTTTTAATGTTACCATCAATGTGCTCAATTTTAATTGGCTCTATGACTTCATCCTTCAGTTGCTGTATGTTAGTTATTAACCCTATCCTTTTTGGTACAGATGTATTGGTCGGGTTAAATTAAAATCTGAAGATGTAGATGTAGATTGGGCAATCTTTAGTTCTATCTATTCTGAGGGAACGACGAGCAAGTTTAATGCTATATAATCCATCCAGTCATGCAGTGATCATAATCTGCTAGTTATAAGATATTTAAGTTCTGCTGAATGGCCACAAGAGCAAAGGTTTCCATCTTTCTTTCTTTCTTTTTTCCTTTTAGCTTTTGTCATAATTATTCTGCGACACAATATGTACATATATGTGTTGTGGATGGCTATGGAAAAGACCTACTTTGCTCTGAAAGGTTGTCAGAGTAATAGACTATCAATATAAACTGATAGAGCAGTTTGTGTTGATGATTCTTGCCGCTTTTACTCGGATAGTAAAGATGCCATTGCTGGGTTTATGGTTTCATATTGGTCTGTATTTTGTACTGTTGGATCTAATCATCAGAATTCAGAACTATTGCTGCTGTTACCTTATTAGGGAACATCCTTGTTACTTTGTTTGATTGGATTCGAAGGAATTTTCAGATTGACTGACATTCCAAGGAACATTGGCCTTTTTCTTGGCTCAACCCAAGATACATTTACATGGTGTTAGTTCGCTTATCTGGCCGGATAGAAGAATGTGAGTATATTTGTCTAGAGAAATTTGGATTTAATAAATGAGTTACCTGATCAAATAAAAAACAAAATTAATAAAGACTTTAAAATTTGACATTGTTATACTATTTGGTCCTTTGGGGTGTGTTTGGTACAACAGAAATTTTTGTGTGTCCGGGAATCATGATTTTCAGTAATATAGAAAGAAATTCAATTTACCGGGAATGATATGAAAAAGTTGTTTGGTAGACGTAAATATTACTGAGAATATTTAATAATTTTACTGAGTATATGTTTGGTTGTTAGTAAAATATTACCGGTAATATATGATGATTTTACAAAACTAATTTTAACTTTTCAAAACATATTCTTCAACGGGTATTGATGTGTGTTGGGGGTATTATTGTTTCAAAAATATGTTGATCTGCTTTCCCTTCTCTCAGTAATCATGAAAACCATCTAATTTTTGGTAATCCCAACAGTAATTTTTCTTTGTAAAATGTTTTACCGGTAAACCTTGGATATCCGGGAATTGATTTTTAATACTTCTACCAAACATGGTAATTGATGATTACTAGATAAGGTTTACCACTAATCCTTGTGATACCCTTGTACTAAACACATCCATGTCACAACAATGTGTAGTGGTCTTTTTTTCTGCCAATTGGGGAAATGTCCATTCTCATGAAATTAAGATAAAAAAATAAATATAATCCTGACCTACTACAAGAAATTTTATATATTTTTAGGTTGCTTGCAACAATCGCAAATGAGCGACAAATATTTTACGTTTTCGTACGTTACAAACGAGTTTGAGTTCTTATGGGGCAAAACAAATTATATGTTGATTATCACGTTTTGTATTATTAAGTTCCTGAAATTGGATCCTATATATATGTTTCACGTAATTTTTTTATTTTAATTTTTTAAAAAAATGAATCATGATATTTCAACAAATATCTCTGTAAGAGTAAGACTGCCTTTATGCACTATCGCGATTAAGAGATGTTTTCAAGTTTTTTAATTTGGTTGTCGATCTTTTTTTTTTAACAATGCACTTTGATTATTACGGCATCCAACCTTTTTTTTTTTTTAAAGTACAATACAGCATCCAACCTTTATTGATACCAATGGGTTATAGGGTTTATTTAAGGTATAGTGAATGTAAAAGTAATAAAGCAAGATCATATATATTTATAGGGTTTGTGTTTTCTAAAGTTATTTTAGATAATTTTATCTAATGTTTGTCGAAACGACGTCGTTTTGGGATGGAAATCATGGTATTTTTGTAATTTTAATTTATTTAAGGGTTATAATAGTCTTTATCATTCTAATTTTTTAACTCCAAAACGACGTCGTTTTGATAAACATTAGACAAAGTTGTCTAATGTAAAATTAAATATTTTTTTTCCATATTTATATTGATGGGGAATTGGATTATGGGGTTTGTAAATTTCTAATGAAGCAGTTCTAGGTTGTGACGTTAATGAATTATCTCTTCAATTTTTGAGGTATTATTTTTTTCTCCACAATGTATCATTAAAATAATTTATTATAAAATTTAAATTTGAATTACTATTTTATTATATATAATTCAATATTTGATTTTTAATAATGTCTTATTTATAAAAATAATAATTCGTTAATATTTTAGAGGTAAAGTTAACTTATACTTATATAAGAATAAGAAATTTTAGGTCAATTTTAACCTTAGATCTACATGCAAATATTAATGAGATAATTTATAAATTAAAAATAATAATTAGATAATAAAATTTTTCATATTTATTTTGTAGTGAAATAATTTTTTCAACCGGTTCATCGAGACTTAATTAATCCAATTTGAGCAAATGTTAAAACCTTTTTTTTTTTTTTTTGTAATAAATGTTAAAACCTTTAGACTTAATTAATTCAATTCCAACAAATGTTAAAATTTATAAAGAGATAATTCTCTCAATATTTTTTATTTTTATTTTCATTTTGATGACTCGAACTCAAAATTATTAATAAAACAATATGTATGTATCTAATGTTATGATTTCAAGAAAGATATATACTATTAAGGGATCGTATATACTTATAAATTTTTTGTGTATAAATTATTACAAACTATATTATGTATTGGGGTTTATATTTTTGTAGCTGCTATACGTGCAACAATCAAATACTTATCATATATATATATATTTAAAAGCATTAAATGCGGATAATCATAACCATACAAAGGAAGAAAGCATTAAATATGAAAAATCATACTTATACACCTGTCGTTGTTGTACGTAAAGCGGCTGCAAAAATAATTTTACCTTATATATTACAAGGTATTACATGCTCAAGTAATATATACTACTTATAATAATGGAGAAAGATATTGTAACAATCAAGTTGTGTTACTACCAATCAATCTCACCGTTACATCGACTATGTTGATTCAATAGTTAAATTTATTTTCATCTTTGTATGGTTATGATTTCTCAAATTTAATAGTTTATATTTATTTTCACCTTTTGTATGGTTATGATTTCCCATATTTAATGCTTTCAATTTAAATATGGAGAATCATAACTATATAAAAGTGGAAATAAATATAACTGTTAGATCAACATAATCGATCTAACGGTAAGATTGATTGGTAGTAACATAACTTGATTGTAAGTTTAATTTATGCTAATTTGTAAAAAAAAAAATTTATAAATATAACCCTACTTATATGTTATTACATTTGAATTGAAATTTTTTTATTAAGAAATGAGTAATAATGTAATCATAAAATAAAATAAAATTAAAAAAGTAACAAGGAAGAAGAGTCATTGAGAGCTGGGTTCCCACTTCCCACCCAGAGATGATGGATAGCATATAAAGGCGCTCACTTTGTATGCTTTTGTCGTTCAAATTTTCCAACACTCAACTTTCTTTCTCTCTCATGCAGTTGCAGATGTAGGGTTTCCAATTTTCATTTTCATTTTCATTTTCAAATCGCAAATGCTGCCACTCATTTCCCCATAAAACTTGTCCTAGAATCGTCATAATCCCTTCCCTAAATTCCACGCGAGTTTGTTTCGTTCAGAAGCGACAAATTTTTGGGATCCGTCAATGGCGTTGTTGGCGGCAAGTGGCGGCGACACCGTCAAGCTATTCGACGCCTCCGTCAAGCCCGGCGATCCTTGTACCCTCAGCTTCACCCCTTCTCCTGGTTCCCAAGTCAATTCAGTCAAATGGAACCATACAAGTGAGTCTATATCTCCATTTTTGTTTTTGTTTTCGTTTATAGGGTTTGCATTTCCACAAATTGTGGTAATTTCAGAAATTTAGCAGTCGATGGTTCTGTTTGATTTCTTCACAGATTTGGTTGTGGCGAGTGCTGGAGATGATAAGAAGATCTCCTTGTGGCGTAAGAATGGGCACAGCATGGGGACCATTCCCGTCGCCGGTACTGATAGTGGAGACAACATTGAGGTAATTTTTGCTGTTGGTGGTGGAATATGTAGTGTAGTGTAGTGTCTTGTTTACAATGCATTGTGCAGGAATTTAAAAGCCTCGTACGGGCTTTATTGTTGCTGATATAATGTCTCTCTGCACTTGTTTCAAGTGGTCGTATAAGAATTTTAAGACACGTTAGATGCAATGTTATTATCAGCGTAAATTTGTATTTGAAATTACTGGCATAAATTTTTTAGTACTTCTAAGAATTTAAAAAAGACTTCAAATAATATGGTCCGAACTTTGATTCAATAAACAGAGCGTTGAACTTTGATTATGCATAAGGAGAGACAATCCTGTCTAAGTTGGCTTTTTCAGAGGAAGCAACAATGGCAGGGAAGCCTGTTTGTATGATACTTCTATTTCTTCTTTAGTGTATCTGTTCCAATTTTTAAGAGCCAATTGCATTGCAATTAGAGTTACTTCCCTGCAAAAGCAAGTTCTTTCTATTCATTTCTTTGGTGTAATTATATACTCACTCCCTGGTGTTAGTGATCCTGATAGTACCATGATTTCACCACAATCAAGCACTTTGTTTTTGTTCTTTCTGGGTTACTTCATACTATTTTTTTTAACCTTTTTTTTTTAGCAGGAGTCTATATTGGCTATCAGCTTCAGCAACAAGGCATCCAGATATGTATGTTCTGGAGGAAGTGGTCAAGTTGTTAGGATATGGGATTTGCAAAGGAAACGCTGTATTAAATGGCTCAGAGGTCATACTAATACTGTCACCGGTGTAATGTACAACTGTAAAGATGAACATTTGGCTTCTATCAGCCTTAGTGGGGACCTTATACTTCATAACCTTGCTTCTGGGCAAAGGGCTGCTGAACTCAAAGATCCCAATCAACAGGTTTTTCTGCTTTCTTGAACTTGAAACTTCTGCTTCTTGAACTTGAAACTTCTGCTTCTTGGTGCTTGGCTTTGCAAGTTTGCGTAAGTGTGTATGGACTAATCTCCCATCTTTGAAATTGTAAGACCAGATGTTGAGAGTTCTTGATTATTCTCGGGTTAGTCGTCACCTTCTTGTGACTGCTGGTGATGATGGGACAGTACATTTGTGGGATACAACTGGTCGTAGCCCTAAGGTATGCAATATGCTTACTTAATAATTTTATAACATATGCTACTACATTCTACAATTGTGAAAAGCCATTTTACCTGGTCTTCTTCATTCAAAATAGTTAGAGAATAACTTCCCTTTCTTGTCCTTTCCTTTTTCTTATTATTTCAAATGGATCTTTTTGAGTTAATAGTATACATTTTCTGTTTCTTTTTTGCCTTTTTTTTTTTTTTTTTTCTCTTTTCCTTAAAAAAAAGGTTTCATGGATGAAGCAGCATTCTGCACCAACTGCTGGTATTAGCTTCTCTCCATCCAATGACAAGGTTTCATTTTTCATGGCTTGTTTTAATTTATATACATAGCGAGACTGTTTCATCCTGCTGTGAACCTGTAACCCTTCATTTATGTTAGTATGATTTTGCTTAATATCTCGTTCTCCAATTGACAGATCATTGCTAGTGTGGGCCTTGATAAAAAATTATACACTTATGACTCTGGATCTAGAAGATCATCATCTTGCATTTCTTATGAAGCACCTTTCTCTTCGTTGGCCTTTAGAGATGATGGTTGGATGCTGGCTGCTGGAACTAGCAATGGTCGTGTAGCATTCTATGATGTTCGTGGAAAACCACAACCTTTTGTTGTTCTCCATGCTTATGGTAGTTCAGAGGTAATCTTTTGCTTCATCTACAGTGTTTTGTACTCTTGATCTGCATGGTTTATTACATTTAAGCCTGTCAGTTGGTTACTGTTTGATATTTGTATCACCTGACAATAAGTGAATAAGATGGATTCATGGAAGTGGAAGCAATTGGGTACTGCTTGATGTTTTTTGCATCTAACACTAACATGGACTTATAGAATTGTGGTGGCCACTTTAAGCTTCCATAATTGCTTACAATTAGTTTTCTCTCAACTCCAGTTGGGGGAAAGTAGGCATTATAATCTATACGAGATTGATTCACTTGTGATTCTTTGGTTTCTGGCTTCTTAGCATTTTCCTTGATGCACTATAATGGGTGAGCAAGCTGCCTTATTAATGCCTGTGAATATATGCATGATCTGTAAAATTTATGAAATTCTCTACTCCATAATTTGTTGAAAACTAGATTTATATATTTGAGGTTCACAACTATATTGGAAAAGGGTATTGGAATTTGATATTGATAAGTAACATATAGATATGTACTAAGAAAGTTGCTCTTTGAGTCTGTTATGACCAATGGCTAATATCTGCTTCCTACCTTTTGCTATTCTTCTTTAACACTACACTAGTGTTTGCTCCATTGAAATCTTTGATAATTAAGTAGTTAGAATGAGCTCCTATAGTCATTAGTCATTCAAGAATGAAGAATTCAAAATTTAACACAATATAAAATGAAACTGTTTTAAATGATGCATCAATCTCCTGATGTGAGGTCACCTCTTTATTTTTGTAAACTTAATGTCCTCTTTTTACTCTAAATTATTATATCACGCTACAGGCTGTTACAAGCTTGTGCTGGCAAAGGTCAAAACCAGTTATTGTTGATGAAAGAAATTGCACTGCTGAAACTGCTCTTGTGGGAGATGCAATTGAAGATTCAATCCTTATGCCTGATCCTTTACCTTCTGCTATTTCATCAACCGTTTCCCTATCTACCTCATTGTCCAGTACTAGGAACTCTGGTCGTCTGAGTGCCTCAATTGATGCGTCTTCACTTACAGCATCCAGCAGTGGATTTACATCAAGCATACTAAATACATCTACCGCAGAGGAAACACCACACCGAAGCCATTTATGGCCAGGTGGAACCCTGTCAAGGTTGCATGCTCCACGTGGTAGTAGTTATAACTTCAAGGATGACATGGAGGTATTCTCCCCTCTGGTGGATGTTCAACCAATAACACCCTCACTATGGGATGCAAATGGATCAAAGAAGGATAGTTTATTTGCAGATAGAAAACCTTTGTTGTTTCCATCATCCAGTCGAAGATTTCCAAATTCAGAGGAAGGAAGCAGTGATCATCCAATATCTGATTGGAAATCTGGCTCGACTACCAAACAGGTTATTGTCTCCCATGTGGCCCTTATGTTGAAGTTAACTGCTCTGTGAAATACTAATCTATTATACCTTCAGTTAAGTGCAATAAATCTTGAAATCCTGCTATCCATGCCTTTTAGTTAAACAGTATTAATGTGTAGCACTTTAATTCCCTGATATGCAATGGGAGGAGAACTTTGTTGTTGAAAAGAGCTGTATAATTGGAATTAATCAATTTGAAAGGTCATTTCTCTTTCTGTTCCCCCTTTCTTGTTAAAACACTTTGTCAACCAAGAATGCCCTTATGCCCAAACAAACTTTTGGGTTATGTTGTGTTGTTTTCTGTTTAATTATCCTAGACCTTATTTGCACCACCAATTTTGGTCCCTTTTTTCTCTTTATGGCCAGGGCTTCTTTTTCCGAATTCCTGGCTAAAAATTGAAATTCTGAGGCGTAGAATATTTGAGGAGGATTTAATTCATGCATTTCATAACTATGGTTTGCAGGGAAGGCATACAATACAACTTAAGATCATCTATTAGAGGTATAGAATATTTAAGGCTTCTTTTCAAATTCCTGGCTGAAAAATTGAAATTCTGAGTCCTAGAATATTTAAGGAGGATTTAATTCATGCACTTTTTTTTTTTGTTACAATAAGGGGCAAACCCCCAATTCATTAATTCATGCACTTAATAGCTATGATTTGCAGTGTGAAGGCATACTACTTAAGATATCTATTAGAGGCCACATTGTTTGTGCTTATGTAATTTAAAAACATGTTTAAAAAAAATATAATAATTAGATAAGTTTTCCAAAAAATGCAAAAACTTAAAAAGAGAAGGTGTTTTAGTACTTTTCTCGAAAGCTAAAAATAGTAGCTTCTGAAAAAAAAAAACTTTGAATATCATAAAAACACATTTTCAAAAGCTTAAACAAAAGGGCCCTTAATCTGCTTTATGAATTGTTTCATGAAACCATTCCCAAGGTTTTCATGTACAATATGCAACTTGACTTGAATTCTTTGTTTTACATGCTCAGGGAAGTTCATTATGTTTGGAATCAACTAAAATTGGAAATGGTTTACTTTTATTTGATTTGATTTAAAAATCAAATCTTACGCTTGGCACTTGTTATAAAAATGGGATTTGAAGTGATTTGGAAATTGATTCTTATGTTTGGAACTCATTAAAATTGGAATTGAATTGATTTGATTTTTATTATTTTACATTTTTACACTTATTTGATGTAAAAGGAAAAAGTTTGGTTAGTGTAAAATAGTTTACTTAAAATTAAATGCTAACAAATCCTACCAAATTTTAAATGATTTCTTAATTTGAATCAGTGAAATCCATGGGGTTTTAGAAATCAAATCATTTCCTATTTTTTTAACATTCCAAACATAAGAATTGATTTACAGATCAAATCAAATCCTTTTTTTTATACATTTCTAACACACTTGTTGTTTATTTTTGACTGGGCAGATTATCCTATTTTGACTGATTATATTGCATGCTAACTTGATGTAGGATATTACTCAGTCTTCCTTTCCACTTGTGGGCTCAACTCCTCCTCCGTCTTCAAAGAATGAAGATTCTTCCATCACTCCTCCAGAAGCTTGGGGTGGTGAGAGGTTAACTGATAAATATACTTACTCACGTCAGCCTGTCAATGTACCATCTCGTTTTGGGATGTTGGGTTCTGGTGGTCAGACAGCAGGATCAATGTTTTCTGGATTGCAGGATACATCCTTATCAATGGGTATCAGTTCCTATACGAGTTCAAGCCTAAGTTATGCCAATTTACATGCCAAGGATGTCTCTACAAGCCAGGAGTCTTCATTGGGGTTTACTGATCACTTGTTTTCTACTTCTTTGCCTTTGTCCATCAGTACTAAAACCAGCCTTGGACAGGCAACCATTGATTCCCCAAGAATCCTTGATTCCCCAAGAATGTTATCTTTTCCTCGAAAATTTTCTACTTATGCAGAAAGAATAAGCACTACATCTACCTTCAGTGATGGAGTATCCCTTTCAGTTGGTTCACCTAAGATTAAGAAATCAGGAGCAGAAACCAGAGAAGAACTTCTGAATAGCTTGCTGTTGAAGTCTGATATATCTGCTCCAACAGAATCAGGCTCTCTACCACTGACAAGTGTATGTTAATTTATATAAATTGATTAAATCTAATGATTGCATTGCATATATACGTGTGTGCTTTTAAAAGGGAGTAAAACTTTTTTCTCGGCTTTATCCTAGAATCTTCCACTGTTGTGCTTCAGTCTCGGAGTAAAGTACAGGCTATGTATGGGTTTCATTGATATAGATTGTGTTAGTTCCAATGTTTTTCAGATTACAAATTAGTTATAGAAACCATTATGATAATCTGTTAATACATATTTATGTTTGTCGCTCTAGTATTTTGTTATTGATTTGTCAAATTTATGATAGGGAGTAATCTCACAACAGAAAGCATCACAGTCAGATCTGTCAGATGCACAACAAGGATCTTCATTTATGCTTCAGCTTTTTCAACGGACACTGGAAGAAACTCTAGATTCCTTTCAGAAATCCATACACGAGGATATGAGAAACCTTCATATTGAAATTTTAAGACAGTTTCATCTGCAAGAGGTGTGCATCTGAAATTAGTGATGGTGATTTTCTATTTTTTAATTCTTCTCTAATTAGTTGTCTTATTCAACAGATGGAAATGTCAACCGTGACGAAGTCAATACTGGAAAACCAAGCTGAGTTGATGAAAGAAGTTAAGTCTCTTCGTAAAGAAAACCAGCAGCTCAGACAAATGCTTTGTGATTGATGTGAATAAGGTTGCAACATTTTTCTTTGACAGAGTGCGTTTGTCCTGTTTTGTGGGATCTATTATTTCGTTTGCAAACTAGCGATTAACAATTCTTGTAGAATCTTGATTGCGTCTCTCAGCTTTTAGACGGGGTGGTTGAAGGAAAATATAATGGGAGTTGCTTGTTGCTGGAATAGGGCATTGAAAATGTACAGGTGTGATAATTTTATAATCATGGAAGCTATATGTTGGGTTGACTATTTGTGGCAGATTTTAAATTTGAGCTCTTGGCATGAGGCTACCCCTTAGACAAACCTACTAGATTTTTGCTCTAGGTGGCCCTCACCAGTCATGGTAACTTGCAATTTGCAAAGTTTACGGAACGCTGGGTGGAAGGTTGAGCTGAACACAATTTTTACGTCTTGTTTGTCCGAGTAAAATTACCCAAAAAAATTGTATTTTTAATTCGAAAAACATTTATAGATTTTTTTTATTTTTATTTTTTACAGTAACTGGATGAAAGTTATGAGATACAGTAGAAACGTAAAAAAAGAAGATATTTTAGTGCTTTTTCTCAAAAGTTGGAAGCAGTATTTTATTCAAAAAAGCGCATATCTCAATTCAAATTTTTTTGTCCTTTTTTAATAATTTCTCTTATTTTTTTTAAAATAAGAATAGTATGGACAAGTATATCATATCATATCTAAAGTGTTAGTATAAGATGAACTCCAGAGAAAGAATAAGTTGAGTTTAATTAATTTAAATAAATTTCAGGAAAGCAGATTTTAATGTGAAAAATCCCTACCTCAATATGAGAAAAATCCATTTATTGCAATTGGATGGATGCCTTTGTCCAAAGGGATAGTATCGTAATAAAAGCCCAACAAGTTATAACACTCAATTTGGCTTAATTCTAAGTCCTAAATTGAATTGATAGGATTCAACAAATGAGTAGAATTAGAAGAACTTTGTCAAATATTGGCAGGCAAATCTCTGGATATACTTTTTTTTAAATTAGAAGTTATTTTTAAGTTAAATTAAAAAAAAAAGCTTAAAAAAAGGCTAAAAGTTATTTGGTGATTATATAAAATTTATGGGTTTTATAAGAGTTATGTTGTAGGAAAAGTGATTGTGTAATGTTATAGAGATTCGTTTTGCGTGCCTTAATTTTTTATTTATTTTTTGTTTTAAAAAGTGTGGGCCCCACAAAATGTTGTGAGAGTAGGAAAGTTTGTTGTGTTATGTTAAAGGATAAAACGAAAACCCAAAATTTATAGCTTAAAAGTTACTTAAAAATACACATTTCAAGAAAAATTTCTCTCTCTCTCTCTCTATATCTATCTATATATATATATATATGGGTTTCGATTTTCTCATGCGGTAGGAGAAAATTTTCTCATGTTGTAGACACATCTTATGTGGAGCCCATATCAATTAAAAAAAAAAAATATTGCACGAAAATCAAGGGTCATTAGTAGGAGAAAACAACTCTCCTACGACATGAGCAAATATTTTCCCTATATATATATATATATATATATGGGAAATATTAGTCTCATGTGATAGGAGACAATAAGTCTCTCCTACACACTCAAAAAGACGTGAGACCCACTTCAAATTCTTTTTCTCTTTTTTCTATGCAATGAGACCCACCTAAGTTTGTGAGTGTAACATGAGATATCTTATCTCATGTTGCATAAACAAATAAAATCCCTATATATATATATATGAGGTAAGATCTTTTGACACTTCATCTGAGAGCCGTTAGATGAAAAAATATCGATGGTGTCACATGCTTACAAATCAGAGTCGTTGATTTTTTTGTATCTAACAGCTCTCAGAAAAAGTGTCAAAATTGAAATTTGACACTGGTGTCAAAGGATCTTACATATATATATATATATATATATATATATATATGTTTCTATAGCTTTTCATTTCAAAAAAAGCACACAATTCAAGAAAAGTTGATAAGAGTTTAAAAAAAAACTTCTCCTAGGAGATTTTGGCTTTCTTCTTTATTATAAAAAAAAATTATTATAAGAGTTTTTCTTAAAACTTGTTTGACCTAGCTTCTGCTTATAAGAAGAAAGAAACTAAAAATAAGAGGATCCGAACAGGCATTAGCCTGTTTAGCACATCTTTTTTTAAACATAAAAGCTACTTTTAAGCTAAAGCTAAAAAAAATAATTTTAAAAATAAAGCTAAAAGTTGTTTACTGATTATATAAAAATTTTAGCTTAAAAGTTGTTCATTTCAAAAACAAAAGTTGTTTATTTCAAAAAAAGCTGATACAACTTAAAAAAAAAGCTCCTCTAAGGAACTTTTAGCTTATTTCTTCATTATAAAAAAATCTCTTTTTGTTATAAGAGCTTGTATAAAAATTTGTTTGACCTAACTTTCCAAACAGGCACAAGGCGATTACGAGTTCATATAAAACCATTAACGTTGTCCTTAACTAATAGATTAAAATAAATTAATTTAAACTATTGGTTTTATATGAATATTAGACTTATTTTCTTTATGTTTTCTTAAGTATTTGCCTACTATTGGTTTTTTTTTGTGTGGCTATTACTTATTGTTGAAACTTGTGTTGCACCGACACCGACACGACTTAACATGACACTCCGACAAGTTAATTCTAAAAAATATTAGATTTTGACAGTTATGACATGTTTTGATTATTAAATAATATTTTTAATATATATAATATAATTTACATTTAATACACATAACAGCCAAAAATAAGTTATATAACCTATCAAATAACTTATTATTGACTAGGTATACTGGGCAACATGTATACTTGGCAACATGGCTGAGTGGGAGAGAGTACGAGTACGAGTCGGAGTCCGAAGGCGAGATTGAAGTTAGGGGAATTATTGACTAAGCATATGCTCTTTGTAATTTCTATGTAATATCTAGTCAAATCTCTGTTAGGAATGGAACGAGGGAGCCCAAAACCTTTTGCAAAGGGTACATCCACCAATGGGCCAAATGATAAATCACAATAAGTGGGCCGACACCACATTTCAACCCAAAACCTTAAGGCTGTAGGTTTATGGGTCTTTTTGCACTTATATGGTCATCACTTGGTCTATGTCTAGACTATGTGGAACTTACTTCACCACCACTCACTCACACTTGATTATTTCTAACATCCTCCCTCAAGTGTGAGGCCCAATATCATTCTTACTCTAAGGTCAACTTCTGCGGAAGTCTTTTTTTCTCTTCAAATATTAGGGTCACACTAGCCTTCTGCAGAGGCCTTCCAAACACTTGGCCCAGATCGTTAGCTCTGATACCACTGTTAGGAATGGAACGAGGGAGCCCTAAACCGTTTGCAAAGGGTACATCCACCAATGGGCCAAATGATAAACCACAATAAGTGGGCCGACACCACATCTTAACCCAAAGCCTTAAGGTTGTAGGTTTATGGGTCTTTTGCACTTATATGGTCATCACTTGGTCTATGTCTAGCCTATGTGGAACTTACTTCACCACTACTCACTCACACTTGATTATTTCCAACATCTTCCCCTCAAATATGAGACCCAACATCATGCTCCCCCTTAAGGGCAACTATCTCATCTAATATAAGCATAAGGAAAGTCATGCTATACATGACGGACATATCCTGCACAAGGAAAGTCGTATTGTGCCATACGAGCCATGAGGAAAGCCATCTCATGCAACGTACAAGAATGACATGCTCCACACAAGGAAAGTCGTCTTGTGTGACACACAAGCATACATATATATATATATATATATATATATATATATATATACTTGCATCACATAACAATTCATTTTCAACATACCATATCAACGAACTATCTTCCCTCGGAGTCTGGTGGAACAAATGATAAATTAACCCCAAGGACCAAAAGCTTACCTCTCCAAGCGATGTTCTCCAATGTACTCCTTGTATTCAAGGAATTATAACCACAAGTTCCCTCAATGTCACAATCTATTTCAAAGATGTAAAGACGATTAGTATACATACCCTAGTCCATTACATTCCAAGATTTTACTATATTAAATTAGACATATTAAGCTTTCCAACGACATATTATAAGCCCAAATTGAATTTATATAACTTAAGATAGGTCTGTCGCAAGCCAACTGCTTCAAATCGAACTTTCGGGAATAGGGCAATAACTTTAAACTCAAACTGAGAGTAATCTGTTTATCCACTCATTATTATTTTTTATTTTTAATTTTTGCTATTTTTTATTGTTGAAACTATGTTCGGATTGAGTGGTACCTCTTCAGGTGTCGTTAGATCTAAGCCCTAACGCATGATTTGTAGAGATATAAATGCTATATGCTCTTTTTAGCTTCTAGATAATTTGTTTCTTCAGCTGTCTTTATATAATATTCTCGTCTAATCTATGTTTTGTATGAATATCATATAACTATTGAAAGTAATGCAGCTGGTATTAAGTTTCTTTTCTTTACATACACGACTCCTTACTTTAATGGACCATGGCTCATTAATTTTTCTTTATTTATTTTACCAAGCTTGAATGTTTAGATTTTTTTTCTTGGCTCTTTAAGGGTGTGCATGACAACCATTCTGTTCCCTGGCACTATTTCTGAAAAGAAACAATTCTTTTCTATTTCTATGCCTTGGAACAATTTTTGAGAAAAAAAATGTGTTTGATAACATATTTTAATTTTATTCCGAGAATGAGAATTGCGTTTGATAACACAATAAATAATAGAAAAAATCATTCCAATTAAGCAATTTTTTTTCTTCAGATTATCACTTTCCTTTTCATATGGTGTAGTGGTGATGGTGGCGGCGGCGGCGGTGATTGTAGTAGTGGCGTTATGGTGGTGGTGGCGGTAGCGGTGGTGTCATGGTGGTGGTAATGGTGGTGGCGGCGGTGGCAATAGTGGTGATGGCATGGTAGCAGCGACGACGACGGTGGTAATGATAGTGGTAGTGGTGGTGACGGTAGTAGCTACGACAATGGTAGTGGTGATGGCGATGATGGTGATGGTGACGATGATGGTGATGTTGGCGGTGACAGCAGTGGCCGCAACGATGGTGGAGATAATGGTGGCGATGGTGGTGGTAGTAGTGGTGTGGTGGTGACGACGTGGTGGTGGTGGTGGCAATGATGTGATAATGGCAGTGGTGGCAGAGGTAGTGGTGGCAATGGTGACATAGTGGCAGTGGCAGCGGTAATGGTGGTGGTGGTGACAGCGACGATGGTGATGATGATGCCGGTGGCGGTGGTGTAGTGGTGGCAGTGGCATGTTAATGGTAGTCGTGGCGGCGACAGTGGTGGTAATGGTGGTAGCGATGTCGGCAATGGTGGTGGTGGTGGTAACAGCAGTGTCTACGACGATGGTGATGGAGATGACATGGTAGTGATGGTGGCGGTGGTGGTTGTTGCGGTAGCGGCGATGACGGTAGTAGTGGTA